TCTCAATTATAATTTTTTAAATCAAAATAATAACTTATTATTTTTTTATATATTTTTTAAATAATAAAACCTTTTAATACCTAATTTAAATAAAATATAAGAAAGTAATATCTCAATGTGATGCATAATACTCTAAAAGATGGAAGAATCATTCGGTTAACTATGAGAAAATCTAAATCACTTAAACTCATTCAAATGCTAGTTATCTCATTTTTAAAAGTGATACTAATTGAACGCAACCACAGATATAAAAACAAGCCAAACAAATAACTAAGTTATTTTAAGCTTATTTCAACTAAAAGAAAGTTAACATGTTGACCCTTTCGATAGATTTCTATCACTTACTTTTTGGTAGGTTAAATCACTATTAAAAAAAAAAAAAACACTCCATTAGGTTTTGTTTATAATCTTTTTTGTTGAAATTTTGTACATATGTTGACACTAGTGATAAAAAGATTTACTTGTCAAATTTAAACAAAAGGAATATAATACATGTAACATGTATATATAAATGTAATAAATCTCTAAGATACTTAGATTCTTCAACTTCGTAAAACTCTTGGATGTTGAAATGGTTTGATCTCATTGTGAAACAAGTATATCAACTTCCCCTTAATATTATCAACATTTTGTCGTACTCCCAATAAAGCATCAATAATAAATCTATTTAGTAATTGAAGCATCTTAAAAGATTGAAGTATTAAACTGGGTTGGTTAAGGTTACATGAGGAAGACAAGTAGTACAATTATGGGATCCTGGCTCCAAACATGGCCCAAGTCATTCGGCTGTCTCGCATTATGTTTTTGTCTCTTCCCATAATTATGTTGCCTGTCATCAACTCAACTCAACTCAACTCATATTTCTTCATGAATCCTTTGGGATGCGAGTAAGGTAAATAAATTCTTAGATTCCCTTCTCTTCATCTGTGACACCACATGACATCATATACATATTTTTAACTCCTCAAATATATGTGTTGTCATGTGAATCCGTCACTAATAACTCCATGATACTCTGTAAACACTGATCGAAAAGAAACATCTGAACGATGCTTAGTTTTTTGAACCCTGAAAGAATGATCTTTTAATTAATTAAATAATAGCAAGATATGCATGCTTAAGAGGAGAATCCCATGTCAGTTTTCTATTTATACTGACACTAATAATACCTTGTTACTTTAATAATTAGTTTAAGATATTAATTTTTTGGGGGGAAGATTTAGCTTGTTTGCTAATATATATGTTTGGATAATTACTACGATATAGATAGTTAATTTGTGATAATCAAATTAATTATCAGAGAAGTCATCATTTTGCACTTTGTTATTAAGTAGAATTATACTGAAAACTTGATAAAATTAATAATAATTAAATTATAAGGGTATTAAATATAAAGATGGGAATAACCCACTCTATTGCAAAAAACACAAATCATTAATCACACTATTAGTATCGCACATGGACATTACGTGGTGAAATCAAATTAAAATAACCAACAATTAATAAAAAATACGTTATAGTATGTTTGATCATTTTTAATGGAGAAGGTATTATAATAGATTAGTATAATGAATCAGAAAATAAAATTTATTTATTATGAAAAAAAAATTATTTGAATTTGTAGGTGAAGTTTCAGAGTATTATAATTAAAAAATAAATAAAGTTATTGATTTTTTTTTATGACTATCGTATGCCATATTGTAGCATGAATATTAACAAATTCACCTATAAAGTTTTTTTGTTTTTTTTTTTTTAAATTCAAGTGGCTTTGTCATAAACATAATTCTATTCATATATTTTATCCATTATCAATTGTATAAATTGAGTAAATAAAAAAAATAAAACATTTTGTAATTTTGGTAAGATTCTCAATAGTTTCCTTTTTGTTTTTCATCCTTTAAAAAATTGAAACTGCATTTTAACCCTTCTAAAATAAATAAAAATTAATTTTAGTTTGAAGTTTCAAAGTTATAATTATTTACACCTAACATTCATTTCAATATAAATAAAAATATTCATATTAAAAATGTTGTATTCTTTTAAAGATATCATGACAAACACTAACGGTGTTAACAAAGACTTATTGACAATAAAATAAATGTGTTTCTTATGAATATTGAAATTATATAAAATTGTGATATAAAAATATTTAATATTTATTTTTAAGTAGTTTTGAATATGTAAGAGTGTGTATTAATGCTCTTGAACTTATATACCGAGTATAGAATATTAAAAAAAAAATACAAAAAATATAGTATAAATTTGATTACTTGAAACAATTGAGATATCTAATAAATATATTTTTATTTCACATAATCAACTGTTAGTGATATTTAGTCAAAATTATATTTCTTAATAATTTTAATTTAATACTCACATATGATTCTGAATTTGAATAATCAAATATGATTTTATTTCACAATCCTTTTCACACGTTTGTACTTCTAAGTAATATGTTAACGATGAGAAGCATTGTCGGTTAAATAAATCTAAAATTTATGATCGTGAAAGATAGTCAAATTTAAAATATTCAAAATTTAATATCTTTATGATAAAGTAAGTCAAACTCTATTAAATTTAAAATTTTAAAATGGTTCATCATATATATTATCTATAAGATTTTAATATAAGACTTTATTTGACATAAAGTGTATTTTCATATAAAGTAATTTTTTATTATATTTAATTGTATTTCTCATTATTTAAATACATCCTACATTGATTGTTTATTAAGAATATTTTTGGATCAATGGTTTTGAGTAGATTGTTAATATTCCTATCAAGAAATATAAGCTAATTTGTGAAGAAAGTTTTGTTGACCTACATGTTCTATATCACTTCTAATATAGAGAAGAAATGAGGAGAAATTTAATTAGAAAAGATATAATGTCTGTGTTGTTCTACAGAAATATTCATTTGAATTACCAGGTGTACAAATATAATTACAACGTTAAATTGAACTGAACTTACAAACATTGACTTGGAATTGCAACTTTGAATTGAATTACAAACATTAAATTAGAATTACAAGCATAAACATAATTCACTCACTCAATCATAATTATATGTGATTTTTATGTGGAACAATATAATCAATTATAAATTCATATAATCAATTTTTTTTCCTTTCAATTTATGCACTATTTTCCATGTTTTTTTACTTATAATATTATAATTTTTATCATTTAAATTTTATGTATTTTTATAATTTATTTTATAATTCTTTTATAGTTTTTCTAACTCATTTACTATTGTTTTGTATTTTGTTTTAGATGATTTTTTTTAAATTTATGTACATAAAAAAAGTAAAATTGACAAATTTAGAGAAAAAGATAAATATTATATTTTATTAAAATTGTTAAATTTATACAAAATTTTTTTTTTAAATTAAAAAAAATAATTTTAAAAAAATTAACATAATAAATATTCAAATTAAACTTTACCATGTAGAATAAAAATATGTTTGCATCAATGTTAAATGATTTTGTTTTAAGTTGTAATATTTTAAAAAATAGTACAAATATTAAATATTAAATTACATTGTTTATTTTAATAATTTTTAATATTATTTTTAATTCAAAAAATAATTATCTCATATTTAATATGTAATTTATTAAATAAAAACATATCAAAAATTACACTATTTTATTTAAATGATTTCTATAATTTAATATTACTAATAAATTATTATAAATAAATTATAAAATATAATATGTCTATAAAATATTAAAAAATTATTTTTAATTCATATGAATTATTTTATTTTATTAAATAATTATATTTTATTAAATGATATGTCAAATTTATTTATATTTATTCTTATTAAAATTATATAAAATATGTTTTATTCTTCCTTAATTTATCTTATTATTTAATGGTGAAATTTCATTCTTATCAATTGCTATCTTTTCAGAATCTCATTTTTCACTCTTTTTCTCCTTTTTCTACTTCATCAAATTCATCATTCAATCCAAGATAAAAAATAATCATATTTTTTAGAATTTTTTTCTTTTGTATACTTTTAAGTGTTTATAATCTGAAAAGAAGGTAAAAGATAGATATATAAGAAATAATAATCCTAGGCAATATGATGAATAAAAATGGGAATGATAAATATGAAAATATTTAAAAAAAATAAAAAATAATGACATGATAAAAAAGTAATTTTGAAAATGTAAAAGTACATACAATATTATAAAAAATTGTGTGGCTCTATATAGTTAAAGTGCACATGATAAACTACTAGAATTTACTTGATAAAATTATACATAAAAAGTTAAAGACATGGAAGATTTTTGTTTTTATTGAAAATTGTTGGAAAGTCAGTTTTTCTACCTTCCAATAAAATAACTTTCCTTTTTTTAATTCCTTCATCCATACAGGCAATAACATTAACATTTATAATGTAAAATTTATAATGAAAAATGTTAAATGAGCACCTTAATTTCTGAGAGGGAAAGTAAAATTAGAGACAACTAACATCTCCAAATGAAAACTGTTTGAGGTTCTAAATTTTAAGAACCAGTTTTTATAAAATTTGATGGATTGTTAAAGCAAAGGACTTGATAGATCTTATACAAGAAAGGTTACCTCTAGCATAAATGGCTCTTATTACCATTAAAAAAATATGAAATAATAACCATTTTAAATTCTTGAATACTATACCATTCAAAAAAAAAAAATTTGGAGAAGTCCCAAAAATAAAATAAGCGAAGTCTAGTGATATTTTGGAATGGTTGTTTGTTTCACACAGTGAAGAGAGTGTGGTATACGATGATAATTAGGAATTAATGCTTGACGACAAAAAGTACTTGACATGCCGAGTTTTGACCATTCCTTAGCCTACTTTATCATTTGCTGACACCAAATTGCGAGCTTCATTGCCATTTAAACATTCTCCATTACTGTTACACCATTACCATACTATATAAACATCTGCACCTTCGTGTTGTCACTGCTTCTACAACCATTTCAACACACTCCTCAGAAACACCTCACAGATGGAGCCAAAGTGCACCATCAACTGTCGCCGCCCGGAGTTCGTTCCGACCCCTCTGCCGGAGAGTCCTCGAGTGCCAATGGAGTTTCTGTCACGCTCATGGAGTGCCTCAGCTCTTGAGGTCTCCAAAGCTCTCTCACATCACCACCCTTCTCTCTCCTCTTCTTGCATGCCTAATTCAAACAACACTAACAACACTTCCATTCCTGAAGAAACTGTTCCCAACAACAGCAACAACCACAACTTTCTCTCCGAAGATTTCTCCGCCATGTCTAAGAATCAGTTCTCTTTTGCTTCCTCTGCCACCTCTCAGCTTGTCCTTGAACGCATTATGTCACAGTCCGCAAGAGAGGTGCTGCAAAATGTTTTATGAAACCTCCTACGTTGTTACTGCATTGATTTTAATGTTGGTGTCAATGATGTGGGGTTTTGACGTCCTTTTATTGTTGTTGACTATGTGATAGGAAGTGTCTCCGTTAACGTCGGGTAGATTATCTCACAGCAGTGAGCCTTTGAATGGTGGTGGTTCCTTAACCGGTACAGATAGCCCTCCGATTTCGCCTTCAGAAGAGTATGATGACGTTGTTAAGGTATTATCCCTCTCAACTCTCTTTGCCTTTTTTTTGTTTTCAAGTGGGGTGAGTGGGCCAGGAGGAGCGAGTTACTTCAACTCTCACCGTTGCAATAGTTGTTGTTTGATTTAACTTTGAGGAAGCTCCTCACTTTGGTTTATCCATTTTTCCTTTTTAGTAAATTAATTTGTTTTCTTAATATGGAGAATACATCATTTGTCTTGTCTTCTCTGATTGGTCTTAGAAAACAAGACATGGGAGAAGATTCTCTTCTGAAAACCCACCCAAAGGGAATAATAAAAAATGTAAAAGATTTTGCAAAAAAAGAATTGAGGGCCCCATCTCTGTCCCTATAGGGTGGTGATTCAGTGCCGCTTATAGCTTATGTAGCTCCTACGGTATGTCGGTGTGAATGCATGGAAGAAAGGTAGGTCTCTGTTCTCAAAAACAATTCGTTGGAACTTGGTGCTTAGTGACCCTTGGTAAGGATCAGCTTTATTTTCCCACACACTGCACGGAAGATGGGTGTGGAATGAAAGGGAAAAAATGGGAACTAGAGCTTTGAAGATGATTTAATGAGGGTCATGTCTCAATGACCTTTCACATTTCAAAAATAACATTTTGAAACCGGTAAAGTACTTAGTGCTGAAGTGTGTAATGACGAAAATCACTGATTAAATGTGTGTGGTGTGGTGTGTTGTGTCGATGATGTTATTTTTTCCCGTCAACTTGCCGGATTTGTTGATTCTGTTTGTCTTACAACAGGACAAAAAGATTGCCAACACTGTGACCCTTCTCTATATAATCACGCAAACAATTTCACTTTTTAGTCTTAGAAGGCAAACTGTTTTTGATTGGAAAAAACTATTTTGATATCTAACTGTAGACATCTTTCCAACAACTGATTTGATGTTTGGTAGGATGAAGGTTGTCCAAATATCACTATTTTTTTAATTAAAAAAGGAAAAGAGTATGGTTTTGTTTATATTTTTAAGTTGGAGATAATACTGTACAGGATGTATTGTCGTACCCATGATATTGTTTTGTTTTTCTACACTGCTGAATCTAATCCATGAAAAACTAACATAACTTGGAGATGAAAAGACGGGTTCCAGTGAATCGAGGGACAGCCGTGAATATTGTCAGCAGTCCTATGATATGTAACTTTGAAATGAAAGAGAGAACACATCTCTAAAATGTTATATCAATACAAGTACAACATGGCAGGTTTACATTTTTTTTCTTTCTTAAAAAGGGAAAATAAAAAAAAAACGAGTAAGAAATTACTCATAGAATATGTTTTTACCATGTAAATACCAAGTAAAGCTAATGGTTATCATTATGAATGTGTATGCAGTTTTTTCGGGCAAATAACTCCATTCACCCGTTATTCAATGGTGGACGAGCCAGTGCAACTATTGGCAATGGCACAGCATGCTCAGGACCTAAAACTGTTGGAAGATGGTTGAAGGACCGAAGAGAAAAGAAGAAAGAAGAAAACAGAACCCATACTGCTCAGCTGCATGCCACTATTTCAGTGGCTGCAGTGGCTGCTGCCGTTGCAGCTATTGCGGCTGCAACAGCAGGATCGTCTGCTCCCAGCAAGGATGAGAAGATGGCAAAGACTGACATGGCTGTTGCTTCTGCAGCCACATTAGTTGCTGCACAGTGTGTAGAGGCTGCAGAGGCTATGGGGGCCGAGCGTGACCACCTAGCTTCTGTGGTCAGCTCTGCTGTGAATGTCCGTTCTCATGATGATATCACTACTCTTACAGCTGCAGCTGCCACAGGTGAGAGCTTTTGCACTCATTAAGCATCCATTTCTGTAATAATGGATACTTTTTCAGAACCATTAGGTTCTACTTTAATAAAGTTGATACAGACCAAAATGTAAACATTTGAAAGATCTAAGCGCTATATTGTGGGGGCTTAACCATAAAAAATGACTTACTAAGCTGTTACAATTGTCAAGGATCAACCATAGTTTTTATAGTCAACTAGTGCCTTGACACATAGAGCATAGAATGTAAGTATTTCTTCATGTTTTATATTGACAGCTTATGTATTTTTATACTTTCATATATGCAGCTCTACGAGGAGCAGCAACCTTGAAAGCAAGAGCTTTGAAGGAGGTATGGAATATAGCCACAGTGACACCACTAGAGCGAGGCATCGGGGGAATTGGACTATGTGGTAAAAGTATTAACAGCAATACTAGCAACACCAGCACTAGTGATAGTGGGGAAGTTTTCAATGGAGAAAATTTTCTAGGTGCCTGCAGCCAAGAGCTCATTGCAAAGGGCAGTGAATTACTGAAGCGCACCCGTAAAGGTAACATCAACCACCAATATGCTATGAAGCACTAACTCTGTCCTTCTGTCGTTTGCAATAATGAGTAAACTCCAGTTCGTGGTAAATGTAGGTGATCTTCACTGGAAAATAGTGTCTGTCTATATACATCGTACAGGCCAGGTAATTTTCCTTTTAAGAATCTGCAGTGTGTAGTTGGCTTATTGTCCATTCAATCACAATTCACCAGGCTTGCAAACATTTCAGGTAATGCTGAAAATGAAGAGCAGACATGTGGCAGGAACCATTACCAAAAAGAAAAAGAGTAAGCACTAAGCAGCCATTAGATTACAACTTTGTTTCGCTCTCACTTAGGCAGCCATAAACAATATTTGATAACTTGTGCTTTAAATTATGCAGATGTTGTGCTAGATATATGCACGGATTTACCAGCATGGCCAGGGAGACATCTGTTTGATGATGGTGAAAAGCGACGGTACTTTGGATTGAAGACTGACCAAAGGGGGATTGTGGAGTTTGAGTGTCGAAATCAAAGAGAATATGACATCTGGACACAAGGGGTTTCGAGGCTACTCTCCATTGTAGCACAAAGACAAAATAGATATGGGAATTGAACCTGCCATCTTATTACTACCAACAGATCTCCACTGAACTCGATTCAAACTTAATATGTATTGAGATGTAATTTGCTTGTGTTTAGCCTCAAACAATCATCATTGGCAAGGACTCAAATGAACTTGGTGATTTCACCAAGATAATATCGATTAGTGCCTAAAAATGTAGAATCGTAGGAATTGTTTTTGTCATCCCAGCGATAATGCGTATGCAAGTCCCTAGAGTCAAGAATCGTCCCAATGTTGCCATACGTTGTCATGGATAGCTTATAAATATAAAACGATTCATGTGTTTTCGTTCAGCAAAAGCATTTCAGAATTGTTTTGTGACTAGGTATTTGATATGCTCTAGAGTTTGATCTCCTTCTTACCTTATTATTCTAAATAAAGTAGGTGGACTTTGGCTTTGGATTATTATTTCATAACAATAAGATGTATGTGAGCCTTGGGTGGAATATTCAAAGATGCAATACAACACAATTGACAGTGTGCATCCAACAGGGAAGAAAATTGCAGGATATCCACACTCTTAATCTTCATTGCCTCTGAAGTGCTAATTTGGACTTCTGGATAGTTTGCAACATTAAATACAGTTTCCCACTATATTACAAGGCATAGTATTTGTAGACAAAACCAACTAGTGTACTTATTAGTTGTCACCTAATATTCACAATAAAGCTTGGATAAATCTTTAAAGCATATATAACAGTTAACTGAGAGCCAAAAAGAAGAAAGGTATAAAGATGGTAAATGTATATTTACATTTCAGTGCAAAATTCCATCTTTTAATCAATAAGTTACCAGCAGCGTGACACTCGCATGGCTCAGGAGATACCTTAATAAGATCTATCTTTTTTTCAGAATTCTAGTTTCTTCAAGCAGACATATGTACCAAGGCAAGGAATACATGCTTCTAGAATTATCTCCTTAGTTAGCAGCAGCTCTAAAGACCGTAAGAAGAGAAAGGAAGAGGTTGATGACGTCTAAATACAAGGAGACAGAAGCCCATATGTACTGATCGTAGTTGAACCTCTTGATGAGGTTGTCTGTGTCATATATGATGTAGCCACAAAATATAAGTGATGCCAGGCCCCCATAGATCATCAGTGACAACTTACCCAATGGAAACAGAATCTGCAAGTAAAGGAACAACACACTATAACGGAATCCCATAGCCGAAGAGGGCCTAATAGCCCAATAGTTGATATATACATGCATAATCAAGAAGAAGGCTTTTCCTTTCAACACCCCTATAAAATTTTCGGGCACTTCCCTTTTATTCTGGAATGGACTTTCCGGTAAAGGCCCTTTGGGCACTAGAAGGATATAGGAATTCTGCAGGAAAGTCCATTCAAGAAGAACGAGAGAAAGTGCCAAGGTGAAGAAGAAACACCCCAAGCATTAAAGGCTTCATGACCAAAATACCTGTATCAGGGCAAAGACAATAAGAACTAGGAATGCTCCAAACAAGAATGGGCCCAAAAAGTTGAAATCATGGCCTCTCCTTGCGGCACAAAAAGTGTAGATAGTCAAGCTGAACACCACCACTGTAGTCAATATAACAGACTCCAGAATAATTTTACCTGTATCCAGTACCCAGTCTCATTAGAAAAAACAAGAATGATTGTTGTCAACCGGGTTTAACGCATCCAACCAATTAACAACTCTTTTTTTTAGTATAATAATAATATTTATTATTTTATTAATTTTTTCGGTTGTTCCATAGATATTTTGGTTGTCAAAAACTATCAGGGCTCTAGAAAAAAAATGGAAATTCTCACCGAAAAATAGTCACTACAAGAGAAAACAAAAAAACACGCTGACGTGAGACTGCGAGAAGAAATAATAATAACTCTCAACTTCATTTACAAGCCTGAGGCACTTTTGCGAGGAAGTGAAGCAATATTGTTATAGAAAATGTAGATATTTTATTATTATGAGACAATATTGTTATGGAAAATATTGGTATTTTTATTATTACTATATTAATGGTTATTATTGTATTAATAAAAAAGGTTTTGAAATAATTTCTTTTTTCTTTTGATTATCAATATTTCCCTGTTTCTGTTGTTATGGAAGTTTGTCATTTGGAAAACATATTCGCCTCCCCTAAGTTGATTGGAAAACATTTAGATGGGGAAATCAATTATTGTGTCAGCATAATATCTTAGTGTTGGAGGTAGCAATTGACTCTGTAATGGATTCTAATTTAGTGCTAATAGATGAAGTGTATCCAGAATTAAATCTTGTTGCCGAGGACTAAAGAAATTTAAAGCTGGGCTTCCATATTCTCAGTTTGCTGCATAATAAGGTAAGCTAATAGACCTGCAACTTGTTAGTATCTCTGACCTTTTCCTTGTTAATAAGTTCTAATTTTCTGATGAGGTGCTTATGGCCTAAACTAATGATGTTCATGCTATTATTTTTGCATGCCTAACATATGAAATGCTATTAGGATTCAGCAAGTACAATAATATAATACCAAGTAACTATAACCAAAGCAGACCACACAGTTTGAACGGTTCTAATTCTTAAATTAAAACAAATGCTAACCGATACTCGCACTTTCCTATGAAGAACACACATTCTACTATAAATACGCGTTTCACGTTTCTAAACACAAATTTTGAGCGCTTCCATGATTCAAAATCAATACTATTTTCCCAATAAAGAAAGTTAACATTTTAGGTAACACACTGCACAATCCTTTTGATCACTTTCTTACATTGTAGTATCATTTCGGTATACAAACATCTCAACAATTACACCCCATAACAAAAGAAACAACCTTTTCTCATCCCATTTTAACGTTTAATTCACAGAACATTACCCACATAAATTTGTCAACGAATTCACCACAGTGAAACCAAACAATAAAACACGAATCATAAATGACAAAAGCAAATAATCACCAATGGTAAAAAGAATTTAAAACAAGAGAAAATTCGGATACATTACCGCTAGTAAAGGCGCAAGTCAATCCAACGGCAAAGGCCAAGGTAACGGTAAAAATGAAGAGAAGGAAGTAATTGAGAGGGTGTTTCTGGTGGTAATAGTAAAGAGGCAACAACGCTGCAACATTATTATTATTGTCAACACGGCACAGAATTAGAAATCGGAATTTATTTGTAACAAATAAAAGAAAAGATTGAAGGCAAACATGGAGGAATAGAGAGAATAGAAGGACGTACTGATAAAAGGAACGACGATGAGGAGAATGTAGATAACAAGGCCTGGGGTGGTGGAAACGATGAAGTGGGAGATGGGGCGGTAGAAGACAACGACGGCGGCGACGGCGATGGTGAGAAGCAATTGGAAGGTAAGGATGGAGTAAACCTTCCGTATGAAGGACCAACGGAGTTGAGGGTTCTCGACCATGGCGGGGTAGAGGGGTCTTTCACCCGCACCACCGCTTTCAACGTCTCTTTTGGTGAACATTTTTGTTTGGGTCTCTGTTTCTTTGTTTCTCTGCAAAGGCTTTGTAGGGGCGTACGTTGGTTCTTATACGATTGGTTTTATGCTAAGAAGAAACAGATTCTTACCCTTGAAGTGAGGAAAGGATAACATGTGTCTGTGTGTCATATGCTGCATGCATCCTCTAGACCTTTCTCCTACACTCCACTTCACCACCTTCACACGTCATTCTTCCCCACTACGTTTCATTATGCGCACTCTCTAACACACTCTGCAAAATTCTATATTTGTCTATGACAGTTTTTTTTTTTTTTCTCTGTTGTTACTCGTTGGAAACCAAACATTCCGTGTCTTCTCCGTTTATGAATGTCTCTTTTTGTTGTTCAGTTTATCATTGTCTTAATAAACACAAAAGAATGGTTAAAATATTATTAAATTAGCGGGAACATATGAATTTTTATTTTAATGAATTAAAATTTAATATATATAATAATATAGATATTTATGAGTCTTAGTAAAAAGTTAGATTTGGGAGGGAATGAGTTAGATTTGGGAGGGAATGAATTTGAGAGAGTAAAAAAAAAATTGATAGATTTGTTGAAAGGAGAGGTGAAAGTGAAATTGTTTGGATTAAGAAAAAATATAAAAAATTGAGTAAAGTTTAGGAAAATATGTAAGTGATTTGATTAATATAAATGATAAAAAAATATTTTAATAACAAAATTAAAATATTACAAAATTATTTATTTAATTAAAATTATTTTTATTTAAATTAGTAAGATGAAAAATAGTTTTTATTAAAATAATTATTTTTATAATTATAATTATAATTTTTATTATATACTAAACTAATTATTAATATTATCATTAATATAATATTTATTATTATATTTATATATTTATTATTATAACTATTATTATTTTTTAATAAACTGCATCACGAAATATTACTTAAAAAATACATAAAATAATTTTAAAAAACTACTAAATAAAAATACAAATAAATAAATAAATAAAATATTTATTTTTTAATATATTATTTAATTATTTATTATTTCAATTAAAAACGTAAATTTTTTTAGAATAATTAAAATATAATTATTATTTTAATTAATTTAATTAAATATTTTCACTTTTTGTGTAAATCTTTTTCTTATATGAAGAGAAAGTGATGAAACATTTTTTTCATTAGAAACAAACAATAATAATGTGTTTGGATTGGGGTGGGGAGTTGAGGAAGTGAAGTTGAATGGAATTGTGAGGTTATTTGGATTGAGGGAAATATAATGGATTTAAATAGATTTGAGTGAATTTGTTGTGTTAATGTGATTGAATATAGAATAATTGAATAATAGTATTTTTAATTTAATAACTTAATTACTCTTGTGGGATAGAATGAATAAGTTTAGTAGAAATTCTAATGATAATGTGAGTTATTATTATTAATATTCATGTGCATTCACATGTTCTTTTTCCTTTTACAAAGTGCACTTAATCCTTTATCACATACTATCTATTGCACTTATGTTATTTGAAAAGTGGTTCACATAACCAACATGAATTAATAAGATATTAAGCAATCTAGAGATTTGTTACTCAACCATCTACTTTCTCACCATTAAGTATAGTTAATGCGAGTTGTTTATTAAGATGCTTAAATAAAATATTAGTTGCTTGAAGTAATTTTTTATTTGAGGAATCCTATGTGGCATGATAGGTGCTTAAATTTTTTTATATTTGCATCATTAAGCAACTTACAAAAATAAGTCAATCAAAGTAAATTAAGAGAGAGAACAGGAGAGATAATGATTTTTTTTTAAATTATTAAGAAAATTTCTAATGGAGTAAAATTAATAGTAAATTATTTTAAAATGATGTGACATCATAAATCCTATTGAAGATATCCTTAGAGTGGATTTGTGACGGTATGAGACGCACCTTCTCATCACCTCAAATCCACTCAAATGAGCAGAAGTAAACTAATATATATCTCCACAAATTCTTCCTCTCAAATCATCTACTATAGTGAAACACTAGAAGCAACAAAGCATAAGCTTATGTTTGTTTCAATAGATCTACTATAAACGCAGATGGAAGAACGCAGATTGTTCGTATTTGTATCCACCAATTTGAGAAAAAAGACGCAGATAAATTTAAGGAAAAGTGGGAAAGAATGACCATCGCGTACATGAGAAAAAAAACTATGAAAAAAAGGGAAGGAGAGTGAAATTATACTCTTATCCTCCTCTCAGAATTCATAGTGAAATAATGCAACATTCACGTGACTCTGTGCATATATGCAGCACATACACGGAATCGTTTAAGAAGTTGCATGCATTTATGCAAGAAATCATGGTTGTGCTTGCAGAGAAAATCGTTGCAACTCAACCGCAACCCTCACATGCAGCTATAGTTGTTTCGTTATCCTAACGAGTGAGAGTGTCATTAAATGCATAAGAGGGGGTTCATTTGTGGAGGTGAGTTATTGTCTTGTGTGGTTGATTTGTGAGAGGTGAGTTAGTTGATGTTTGTTTGGTGTGTGGTGTGCATTGGTGATGATGTTTGACCGAAAAACTAGTTGAGAGAGGCGAAGAGAATTATATAGAATTGATTCTCTTATATTTGAATTGATGAAGAATCAATTATCCCTTCTTTTGAATGAGAATCGATTATCGTTTCTTTCACACTTAAATAATCGATTCTCCCTAAGACCATAATTGATTCATGACCTTGTGTTTATGTGGATGCATGTGATCATTGTATGTATTGCAATGATTTGTAGATTCATTATGCTTATAGTTTACGTATTATTATTGGTCACTTTGGATGGTGTTGCTGTTGTGCGTGAGTGATGTTACTGGTTGTTGTATGTGATGTTATCGGTCATAGAAAATCTATTCTATAAAAGCTAATAAAATGAGAATTGATTTTTGCATCATTTGAATACATGAGAAATGATTCTCGCTTTTTTTAAATACGTAACAAATTGTTAAATCAAAATCTATTTTTAATATGACAATCAATTCTCAACCATAGAAGAATCAATTCTCCATTAACAAAATATATATTAAATTATATATTAGTGATAATCAATCCTCAAGAGAATTCTCTTTTAATAATAATAATAATAAATTTTTAAATCATTTATTAATATTAAATCATAGATGTATTTAATGTATTAAATTACAATTATTAAATAATAAATTATGTTTATTATATATATTTTTAGTATTAATAATATTATTAATATATTTCTCACCGAGTCAGAGTTCGAGAGAATAAATTATCCTTCTCAAATCATAAATTAACAGAGAGAATAGATTTCCTTCATTCTATTTTTTTTTATCAATATTAAATTATAATAATATTTAATTATTATTATTATTATTAAATAATAATTTGAATTTTTTATACATGTATTAAGTATTAATAATGTTATTATTATATTAATATTAATAAGAATTTTATTTATTAGAGTATTAATCATAAATTAATAATTTAATAATTATTAATTATTTAAAATATTTTATAATATATAAATATTTGACATGATTTCATAAGTTAATTGTAAAATATAATTATAAATTTTAGTAAAAAAAATATAAATTAGATAGTCAACAATATATATTTTAATTTCATAAAAAAATATTAATATTATAATAATAATATTATTATTATTATTATTATTTATTAACACTTTAAACAAAGTAATAAAAAAATAGTTGAAATAATAATACATAAGTAAATAAGAATTTAAATTTATTATTTTTATAATGTGTTTACTTTTATATATATATATATATTTGTTTTTTTTTTTCATTTTTACCATATATAATTATTTTTATATGAATATGAAATGTACTGTAATAATTATTTTAAAAATGATTGGAACATGATTTTTAATTACTACTTTACAATAATTTTAATGTGAAACAATTAAAAAAAAAGTGGGTTAATAATTTTTTAAAACTTTTTATTTTAAATAATAACTCATATCTTATTTTAATATAATTTATCTTAATTAATTTATATTAAATTATATTTTTAAAATAAAGATAAAATTGTAATCTTACCATTTTATTAACTAAAATATATTTTATAATTTATCAAACTAATCATATTATTATTGGTATACTGAGTTGTTTTTATATAAAAATAACATAAAACGTGATTAAGAAATGTGAATAACTCTCGTGATAGAAGGAAGAGTTATTGTATTGTCGTGTCGTGATTGATTGAGGCGTGATTTTTATAATAAATAAATAATTTAATAGACAAAGCAACCTGAACAATAATTTAATTGGTACTTTGAAAGTATTGATTAAGCATCAACATCCGAAAAGAAGTTCTATCAAACAAATGTGGATCTAAAGTTAATATTTTAATTTCTCTTATTTGTACCTTTGTCTTTTTATTTCAAGTTTAGTTTTTTTTTTAATGATTACTTTTAAATTAACATATTTTTAGTCTATCCAAAATAAATAAATAAAGTTTTGATTTTGATCTTTATATTTAAAATTTGAATTTTATGGTATATTAGAATATTATATTGAAAAAAACTGTGAAGAAATCTTTATTAGTAAGATATTAAAAATAATTATAAAATTACAAGTAAATAAAATCCGGAATTCTTATAGAAATTGAAATATAAATTTATAGAAACTACAAGAAAATAATGAAAAGTATGGATAAGCAATTTATTCTATCTCCTCTATGAGCTGCGACGCATCGCAACACGACGCAGAAGTGTCAATTCCGGATCAAATAGATATTCGATCACATTTTTCTTATTCTTTATCTCATCGACTAATCATGTGGTTGCAATATATTTTGTAACTAAAAAAATTACAAAAAAAAAACATAGATAAAATATAAAAAATATTATATTTTACAAATATTTCATGAATGAGAATGTTATGTTCTCCAATCACAATAGAAACTTTAGCATAATAAAAATAAATAAATTATTTTCACAATAATAATTGGTTTTCTTTTGCAAAAGTACAATGATTAATTATGCATTTGTCATATGCAATTATGCATTTCCAAACCATATCCTAAGTTCTATCCTATCAAAAATTATTTCGTAGAAATCACTCTGTTCACATTCTTTGGGAAAACGAAAGGTCGAAATTTTTTAATATATAATTTATAAATTAGACTAAAAGTAGTGAAATATTACTTATTAATTTTCCACATGCGTTTCTCTGTTAGATTTTTAACAAATCTGCGTAGGCTCCGAGTTTATCTTTTTCATGTTACTGTTCCTTTTGACTTAATTTGTTTTATATATTAGAAAAATAGTTATTAAAATTCAAAACTTCACGAGAAAACTTTGAAAATAAAGTTATTGTTATTATTATTTAAAAGAAAATCAACTCTGGTGTAACAGTTTCAACTTTCAACTCGGAAGGAAAAGGTTTTCAATTTCAAGTGTGAAGCATTTTCAAAAATAAAGTTTAAGGTTTTCAATTCCAGGTTAAAAGAAAAAATTAATTTGTATGGTCTGTCTTCAGGGAAGGAAAGTCAGATACTTTCCCTATCACCAAAAAGAAAAGGCACAAAAAAAAGTTAGTTAAAGTCCCAATTTTTCAATTTGATTTTCCTCTGCAGATTCAATTCACAGTTGAACTCTCTCTATCATTTCTTTTGATGCATTTTCCAAGCTGATTCGGTGAGTTGCATTTTTCTGCTTGAGATCTTTCCTAGCCATTAACTATGGAGCATGCTTTGTTTTATGCTGAACTCAAGAGACTATTGGAATAATTTTATTTAAATTATTGCTTGTTGGTTGGGTGCACCAAATCTTTAGCTTGAGATTGATTTTTGTGTTTGTTGGCAATGGAATGTGCCCCCAAATTGTAAAGTTTGGTTTTTGAAGTGGAAAGGTGTGGTGCTGTTGTGGAGATCCGGGAGTTGTTTCGTCTCTTATGCCCCATGAGGAGTTTCTTCCCCTCAGAATCCTGTAAAGAGGCGCACCCAAATGCTTTGAATCCTCAGTCTTGGCTTCAAATTGAAAGAGGGAAACTTCCCAAGTTGTCATCACACCCTTCATCTGCCTCAATGTGAGTTTTCTCCTCTCTGAACCGGTCCTTTCTTTCAATTGAAGCTTTGCCTTTTTGCCAATTTAATTAGTTGTTATGATTCTTTGGTGGGGTTGTGGTGTGGTTTTGTTTGCTTTCTTCTGCCGTAGAGAATCATTGGTCAAGGTCCCTCAGCCAGCTATCCTACCTTTCTTTAAGCCTGCTGATTATGTGGAAGTTTTAGCTCAAATCCATGAAGAGCTTGAGTCTTGTCCTCCACAAGAGCGGTCGAATCTGTTTTTGTTACAATACCAGGTCTTTAGGGGCCTTGGCGAAGTTAAACTGATGCGTAGAAGCCTTCAGGGAGCCTGGCAGAAAGCCAACACTGTTCATGAAAAGATTATATTTGGGGCATGGTTGAAATATGAGAAGCAAGAGGAAGAACTAATAGCCGACTTGCTTGCCAATTGTGGTAAATGTGCGAAAGAGTTTGCGCCTGTAGATATAGCGTCTCATCTTCCATTTGATATAAATGCAAGTTCTGCGGGGAGAATGACCAATGAGAACCTCATTTCTCAAAATGTCACTTTTACTATTGGTGATGAAGATATAGTCTGTGATAGACAAAAAATTTCAGAACTTTCGGCACCATTTCATGCTATGCTAAAGGGTTATTTCAGTGAATCACGCTGTGAGACTATAGATTTATCTGAAAATAATATCTCTCCTTTAGGTATGAAGGCAATCAATGATTTCAGTTTGACTGGCAGTTTAATTGAGGTCTCTCCAAATCTTTTGTTGGAGATATTAGTTTTTGCAAACAAGTATTGTTGTGAAAGACTTAAAGATGCTTGCGATAGAAGACTTGCCTCTTTAGTTTCCTCCAAAGAAGATGCTGTAGAGCTCATGGAATGTGCTCTTGATGAGGATTCAACTGTCCTTGCTGCATCCTGTTTACAAGTCCTTTTGCGTGATCTTCCAAACTGTTTGAATGACAATCGGGTGGTGGAGATATTTGTTCATGCTAATAAGCGGCAGCTAGCAGTCATGGTTGGACCTGGTATATTTGCACTTTTCTGTTTCTTAAGTGAAGTTTCTATGAACCTTAACTCTAGTTCAGATAAAACAGCACATATCATGGAACGTTTAGTTGAGTTTGCTGAGAATGACAACCAGAGACTGCTGGCTTTACATCAATTGGGATGTGTAAGACTCTTACGGAAAGAATATGATGAAGCACGTCTTCTTTTTGAAGGGGCTGTAAATGCAGGCCATATATATTCTGTGGCAGGTTTAGCTAGACTAAACTATATAAAGGGTGACAGACTTTTATCTTATGAGCAGTTCAGCTCAGTGATTTCGTCTGTTACTCCACTTGGATGGATGTATCAGGAAAGGTCACTATACTGTGACAGTGACAAAAGGTGGGATAACCTTGAGAAAGCAAGTAATTTGGATCCTACTCTTGCATATCCCTACATGTACAGGGCTGCCTCTTTAATGAGGACGCAGAATGCTCAAGCTGCACTAGCAGAAATCAATCGGATTCTTGGGTTCAAACTTTCACTAGAATGCTTAGAAATACGATTTTTTATCCATCTGGCTCTTGAGGACTACAAAGCAGCTCTATGTGATGTTCAAACAATTCTTACTCTACGATCAGATTATAGAATGTTTGAGGGACGTGTTGCTGCATCCCAACTCTGTACACTTGTACGTGAGCATGTTGAACGTTGGACAACTGCTGATTGTTGGGCACGGTTATATGACTGTTGGTCTGCAGTTGATGATATTGGGTCTCTTTCTGTTATATATCAGATGCTTGAATCTGACGCGGCAAAAGGTATTCTGTACTTCAGACAGTCATTACTTCTCTTAAGGTACGTTATGAACTTTTGGAAGCCTCTAGTAGTGAGTCAGTGGTCAAGGACTTTGTTTTGCTAGAGGTCACGTAGTTCCAAACCTCCTCCATATTGTAACTCCCTCCCTGTTGTCCCCCAACAAAATGTTTGGATATTTGATAACTGTTATTAATTTTTCAAGCCTTGACGTTAACTTACTGTGTCATGTGTATTATGAATCTAACATGGTACTTACTGTTTTATGTTCACAATATCAAAATATTGTAAATTTCTTAACTAAGAACATGTCAATCTTAGCTACTTTTGATCTGCTGGTTACTTACACTTGGAAATCTTTTTTTAGAAGTTGTACATCTGTGATGAAAACTCAACCACTAAGGAGGAAAAACCCATAGAACGTAATATTTTACTTTGAAATGCAAGTTATCCCTGTGAAACTGTGTCTGGAAAGGAATATTCTCTGACTGAATTTTATATGATGGCTTTATAAATCTTATGTATTTATTTGACTTAGGTTGAACTGTCCTGAGGCTGCTATGCGGAGTTTACAGTTAGCTCGGCAGCATGCATCTACTGAGCATGAACGACTTGTTTATGAGGGGTGGATCTTATATGATACAGGTCATTACGAGGAAGGGCTCCGGAAAGCTGAAGAGTCTATCAGTATCAAAAGATCTTTTGAGGCCTTTTTCCTGAAGGCCTATGCATTGGCTGACTCTAGTATAGATCCATCAAGTTCACCTACTGTTATCTCTCTTCTGGAAGATTCCTTGAAGTGTCCTTCAGATAATCTGCGCAAAGGTCAGGTATGGTTCTAATGTACTATTTTTGCAAATTATTTCACTAGTTAGAAACTAAGTAAAGAAATGGAAAATTAATAGAAACAAGTGAAAAAATATGAGTGATTGAGAATAGGAGAGAGGTCTTGCCGAGGCTTTCCCCTTCATAAGGAACTTCTCCTTTAACACAAACTGTCACATTCACTTGAAGAATCCCTCTAATCTGATTTGTCCTATTTATCAACCAACCTTTGTATCTAACTGATGGACTAATTGGCTAACAGCTGCCCTTATGCAGTCCTCTTTATACATTCTAGTAATACCACTTTTTCATCCCAATTCACATTTTTTGCCAAAAGACTTCCAATGGACTCAACTATCAACTGAATCCCACTTTGATTACCTATGAGCACTTATTTGTCTGAATTGTGTTGGGGCCAAATGCGGCATGGCTGGCCTCAACAGGTTGTGATCTTGAATTGAGCTGGGGGAAGCTAGTCAACCGAGTATTGCATGAAACCAGATAGTGGAGTCTGAAACAAATATCCATTATGGGCCCTTTGATTGTAGTAGTCTTTTAAAAACCTCTCCTTGATTGTAGTGGCTTTGACACCGATCAGGTCTTCAAATGCCGCGTCTTCAACAACTAAATGAAAAGAAATGAACATTTTTATTGAATGTTTAAGAATAGGAGTGAGGTGTCTCCTCTAAGGGCTATTTGGTCAAATATCTAGCAACAAACTCCAATGTTTCTTTCATTACTGTTTTCTGAACAAGTTCCTAGATAATAAGCCTAAGGATTTTCTTATTGATGATACTGACAATATCAACCATTCTTTTTACATTGGATTTCTCCTTTCACGCACAAACCATCAAATTCACAGAACGAATCTCTCTAATCTGATTTTTTCTACTTATCGAAGCAACCATTCTAACTAACTAACTGGTCTAGGTAACTAATAGACTAACTGACTAACAACTGTTGTTATTTAGCCCTCATTGTAGATCCTAACACTACTCGATAGCTGCTGACTAAGAATAGATTTCCAATCTGTAGAACAGATAAGTTGTTAGGTTGATGGCAGTGGCTCCTGAATGGTTTCATTCCTAAGAGCTAAAGATGTGTAATAATGCATAGATTTTATCATCTCATTATCATCTTTGAAGGCGATGATATCATTATTTCATAGTGGTTTTCTTTAGTTTTTTTGTTGTGATTCTGAACGTGATTTATGGGGAAGTTCGAGTTGCTCTCTGTTTGACAATCATGACATTATTGCTGGCTCTGTTGCAACTTTTCCCATCATTCAATGGAAAAGTTGGCTGGTCTACATGCTTCTTTCTCCTTGATTGCTAACATGAATTGAAGTTTTTGTCAATATCTTGAAAAAAATAGTCTCTATCTAAGCCTCTTGAATTTACGATCACCATATAAACAATTAAGTCTCTAAGAATTTTCTGATTGACTAAGCTGATACAGTGAGCATCGATATGATTCCTATACTAATTACTAGAAATATAAATGCTGACCCTAGAAACAATGCATATATGTCATGCATCCAGCTTGTTACACGTGTTTGTTACCCTTTGACTTTGGAGAAGGTTTGTTGAAAATAGTTGATCATTTATATTCACAATGGAGGTGATGATTTCTATGGAACAAATCTTCTCACGAATGAAATGGTAGTTTGTTTTTCTGTGTTTATTTATGAGAGACTGACAAAAGGCAAAGTTCAATGGTGGTTTTTGCTGTCACAAATGTTTCATGGGCCTATCTTTCAAAACTTCAGTTCTTGAAGTAGTTCATATGTAGTGAGAGCCACAGCATAATATTCTTAGTCTACACTTGATTGTGCAACCATAGCATGTTTTTAGCTTTTATATTAGATGAAATTACTATCAATAAAAATATAGTATCCGAGAGTTGATAGTCTATCGCCAAGATTTGTGGATGTTAAGATGGATGGGTCCAAGGTGCAACAGGGCTCGGAGGGATGGCAGGTTAGGACTTTCAAAGACACTTTTCTTCTCACTTCGACAAGAAGTTGTTTGAACAGGAGATCGGAAGTACAAAATATTCAGGCCCAAAAACTGGGAAGCTCTATTATTGATTTAAATCAGAGTTTTTATACTAGAGAGAAGTCTTTTCTAATCCTCACGAAATACAATTACAATCTACACAACTTAATTAGTTTTAGCCTTTAGGGATTGGCTCACTACATCCAATACTGTAAGCTTATAATCTCTTCCCCATATTATTTGCAGAATGTAACAGCTATATACAAGGAATATTACAATACTGTATCGATGAGCTGAAAATGCTTATTTACCCCACTCCCTCTGCGTTCTGAATTCTGGATTTGTACATTCTTGGATTACGGTGGTTGTAGGTTTTGGTTACTCTGTAGAAGTCCAGAATATGAATTATGAAGCTCTGTTGTTTTAGCTGAACGGATGAACTCGTATAAGTTTCAGCTATTATACTCGTATAAACTTGTACTATCCATATGTTGCTGTAACTTCGGTTACAATTAATTTGTTGTTTAACGACTTCTAATTCCATTAAATTTTTCAGGCACTGAACAATCTTGGAAGTGTTTATGTTGACTGCGGTAAATTGGACTTGGCTGCTGATTGTTATATCAATGCCCTTAAAATCCGTCACACCCGAGCTCATCATGGTCTTGCTCGTGTTCATTGTCTCAAAAATGACAAGGCTGCTGCTTATATGGAAATGACCGAACTTATCAAGAAGGCAAAAAACAATGCATCGGCTTATGAGAAGAGGTCTGAGTATTGTGATCGTGAACAAGCAAAGGCAGATCTGGAGATGGTCACTAGATTAGATCCACTTCGGGTGTATCCTTATAGATATCGTGCTGCAGGTTGGTGTTTTACCTATCTGACTAAGCTCTCTGGACTTGTTCTGCTTGAGTAGATGAATGCAACTATGCATGTGCATGTGAATAATATTATGTGCTGTATTCGTATCCTAAAATTTCCAAATCCTTATTGTCCATTTTTGTTGTCATGTTGGGGTTTCTATAATTTATTGTGAAGTAGTTCTATTGGGATAGCACAGTAGTGCTGAAATGTTTTGTATTTGTGGTTGCAGTGTTGATGGACAACCACAAGGAGGAGGAAGCCATAGCCGAACTCTCTAGAGCAATTGCATTTAAAGCTGATTTGCACCTCTTGCATCTACGTGCAGCATTTCATGAACACAAAGAGGATGTCTTAGGTGCTCTAAGAGACTGTCGTGCTGCCCTCTCAGTGGACCCAAACCACCAAGAAATGTTGCAACTTCATAGTCGAGTCAATAGGCACGAGCCATGACTCCAAAACATGATCACATGGTAGATGGAATCAATTGCACATTCACATGGCTCGACTGAAAAAGTTACAGTCATGCATGCCATGCAGGATGAACATTGGTGATCACCTGACTCATGAAAATCAAATTTGTAACATAGAAAGTATAGTTTAATTATTGTTATTATTTTTATCCTGTCTATAGTAATGAACGTGTCAATTATAACCATTTTTTTAGCCCCGGGTGAGTGGTCCCAATTTTGTAATTGTCAATCTTTATTTTTTGGGGTATATTACGTTTGTCAAATCTGTTGTTTATCTCCCATTTGTTTCTTGCTTAAAATGGTGTGCAAGGCATTATATGAAAGTGTTTATTTACTGTCATATCACAGTTTTTAACCACTAGTAGTGGTATGCATCAAATATTGCTAATCCAAAAAATGATGGGGCCAAAATACTAATTTTATACACAAAATTAAAATTGAAGTTTCAATATAAACATAAAATGATAAAAAATAATATAACATTTATATTCTTTAATAAATTATTATGTTTGAGTAATGATTTGTCTAGATGATATGATATGGATTAATATTAATAATTGCTATTAGAAAAATGAGTAATGAGTGTAAAAGTGAAGGTGTTGTCTGAAAAGAGAAAATAGAGATAGAGAGTGGGATTTTATTGACAAATGTAAATAAATATAATCATTCTAATGCCTCATAAAAAATAGCCCCAAATCAATGTTTATTTGTGAAACATAAATGTGTTGGAAAAATATGTGAATTTGAAAATGCACTTCCTTGTTAAATGATGGAGCTCAAATATAAGACTAACACTAACTTTTAATTTAACAAATTTTAGAATCTTTATTTTTAATTTTATTAGTAGGGTGATTGTTAAAATGTTTCAGTTAAAAACAAAATCTTCACGTACTAATAAATTTGTAATGATATTTTAAATTTGAAGTTCACATAAATCATTAACTTTTTATTATTATTAAAAACATGTTATATTATATTTTTCACCCTATTTTACATATTGTGTGATCTTGTAATTCTTGAACTTTTTATAAACAAAAACTTTTTTTTCTTTGAGTTAAACAAATTTAATCATTTCACAAATTTTTTCTATCTAAAATCTCAAATTGTTGTATATAATACTAAGGATTTATGATAAATTTAAAATATGAAATAATTTAAAAAAAATCTAAATAAAAGCTTATTAGTGAACACTTGACAGAGTTTGTAGTTTTATTAGTTTTGGTGGGATTTAGTAACCGAGTTTTGAATAAAAGAAGTTTAATAACGATTTCATTTATTTAAATTTTTGAAGATTTGTGGTAGAGAATAAAAATTTGAGAATTTCAAATAAAACCAAAAATTACGGAGAGGCTAATCAATTCTAATTTTTTTTAACAGAATAAATTTATTGTAAAAAATCATTAAAGGTTTCAAATAATAGAAAAATTATAATGAAAAATTAAAAGCACAACTAAGCTTTATGAAGATTTAAGGCTTAAATACAAGTGAATAATTGATATGGTACACTGGGTTAAGCAATTATTCTGATAAGAAAAAAGGTTAAGCAATTATTTATGGATGAACAAATAATTGTCCCGACCAGTACTATTTGTCTGTGCATGCATAATTGATTGGACATATTCATGTAATTTTTAAAATAAATATTACAGAAGAAATAAATAAGAATATAAAATTAGATATTTGTTATAAATTAATATATATAAACTAATTTTAAAATGAATTTTAAATTTTAAATTGAAATAATTTTAACTTCTTATTTTATAACAACTTATCTATTATAAGAACTATGTATCTAAACCTTTAAAAAAAGAAATCAAAAGTATTTTAATGAAAGAAATGGACCTGAAAGTTTGAACAGGAAAATACTAATTATAAGAACTTAAGTGTTTTTGTAACTAATATCAGCCATTACTTCTGAAAATCCAAAAGCTCAAATGAATGGTTGCAGTTTATTGATATATTTAATAATTAACTAATATATAATTATTCAAAATCAAAATAAAATAATTACATTATTGATTTCATAAGATAAAAAAGGATTTTAACTAAATAATCAATAAATATGAATTAAGATAACTTAAAGTTAATGTAAAAGATAAGAGTTTATATTAATTTTTAAAATAATGACAAAGCTATATATGGTAAATTCGTGTAAACCGTAAACTGGTTCGTTCTAATTCATAAAAAAAATGTCAGTATAATATATTTATACGGACATAATTTATAAAAGAAATAATCAGATTGAAATATAATCTCAAAAAATGTCAGTAACATATTCTTTATGAAATATAATCTTAAAATTGAAATAATCAGATTCTTATGACATAATTTAATGTAACTAAAAAATATAACTTACAGGAATCATATAAATAACAATAAAAAATAAAAACTAATAAATCTAAAATAATAATAAATTATAAAATATATAATAATATATGATTTATATATATATGAAGAGCTAAGATAAATTATAAGAGTTTCTTTCTTATATCTTCTTTAATTAAAAATAAGTAAGGGATTTTGATTCTAAATCAAATTTTAACTGAAAGTAACCAATATATATATATATATATATATATATATATATATATATATATATATATATATATATTAATATTGAGATAGGGGTCATGAATGTATAAAAACCATGGCAATTATAAGTAGCTTGTCTCCATTAGGTTGGGAACATGCTCAGAAAGTGAGAAAGAGAAACAGAAACGGTGGTTTCAAGGGAGCAGAAAGAAAAGACCACCAATAATGTACCAAACAAGAAAGAACCACTAATAATAAGTGTGTCGAATTAGAAATAAAATATGATGATAAAAAATCTAGTAGTTTCCTGAAGTTTCTCCAGATTCATTTTCATAATATTCAATTAATCATTTTTCTTATTACGTGTCATCAATGTATCTCACCACGCCATCTTCAGATATAATAAATAGAATAATATCTTGAAGAACAAAAACTAAGAACCATGCTTTGTTATTTTATTATTATTATTATTATTATTATTATTATTATTATAACCAAGTAATATTATACTATTGAATGAGGTGAGTGAATATTATATTAAAAGGGGTGATATTGTGAGTGCGTGACTGAATAAGATTAAAGAATGCAAGTTGGAGATAAGACTGTGGGAATTGGATTTTCTGCATGCCTTACTCACTCACATTCCAAGGATGTGGATGTGTCAACAAATACCTCTTGGTTCCATTTTTTCAATATTAATTTTTAATTAAGTATTATAAAATGTTTTCAATTTTATTAATTCCTTTGAAATGTTTCATTTTTTTTATTTATGATCACGACTCATTTTGAAAATATATAATTTTCTCTTTAAATTTCACACATTATGCATACTTTTTAATATTAGATGTTGATTCATCTTTTAAGAATATCTAGATATTAACTATTTTTTCTTTTCATAGATGAGATTCAGATGCCTCATATTCGGGTTCTTTATTCAGCAACTCTTTAATCACAAAGTATAATTTAATTTCCATCCTTCGTATATGAAATAAAACATTAAAATGCGGAGGTTAAATATTGTTTATATAAATTTACTTTTCTCGAGATATCTTTTAGAAATAAAAATAATAACTTCAAAAGGAATAATATTTTAGACATCAAAATCAATTAGATGTGTTTTAATAATAAAATTATAAGAATTATAAAACGAATAATACTTTTAATTTAAAAATTAACTTTAACACGAACATAATGTTGGATATTTTCGTTTACATACGTAATCACCACAGTATTATATAATAAATAAATAAATAATTATAATATTAATATAATATTATAAAAAAGTTATGGAGAGCAACTAACTTGTTATCATAAGCTGATATTTTGCCGACCTATGGACTGATATTTTTGAGGGTGAAGCTGATAACCTAGGATTGGTTTCATTCACACTTTAAAATAATGGATATTCAATGGGATATTTCTTACCGGAGAAGTCAAACACACACGTTTTAAGATTTTCAAAAACAAACTACCCTTGTAAGAATTTGAGTGTAACCATTTAGGTTCAAAACACATAATAAATAATAATAATAATAAAGGACAGAAACCATCATTTAGAGGTGGGAGAAGGACACCAATAATTTCTGAGGCAATAACTTAAAATAACACGTCATATAATACAAAAATAATACATTCGAGAACATTGTAGAAGATTCATTGCATTGATATAAAGAATATTAATAGATTTATATTGCTGCTGTGTGGCTCTAGGGTACTGAAGAATATAAAATATCACGTAAGAAGTGAGAACCAATGCACGCTAAACGATACATTTTCCTTTTTGAATTGGGTCACACAAAGTGTTGATAATAATATTATAGTGAAGAAGGTGACGATGATGTAGACTATATATATATATATGTATATAAAAATACAGGTTGGAGATTTTGGTGGTGAAGAAGCTTCTGGATTTGTGGTATGCAAGCATGGGCTGGATCTTCATGCCTCATTCAGCCACTCAGATCGATGGAATTGATTTGGAGTAAGTGTGTATGATTTTCATTGCGTATCACACTCTACTTTGCTTCTCAATAATTTATTTAATTAATTAAATGTTATCTTTAGTTTATGTTCTTAATCTTCTGCTTTACAAGTTTCAACTGTGTGCGAATATTTGCTTTTACAATTTTATATAATTATCCATCTAACCATTGTGCCTCTCGTTTTGAACTTTTTATTTCTATAATATTATCACACCACTTGTTTGGAGCCTCTTCCAGAAGATAGAAACTAAATACAAAAATTAATATGACTCAAATTTTCCTTTTCTTTAACATTTCATCCACCATAGCAACTACCATCCACCACCAAAAGAACAACCTCTATACCTAATCAAAGATAAAACAGTGCATTTCACGAAAAACACACATGCAAATAAAAAGAGAGCAAGAACATCATGATTTTGATGAAAATCAAACCTTAATCATGCTTAGAATAGAAAAACCAGCTAAAGTTAAAGAGGAAAATTTCCAAGGACATTAGAGAATGAAAAAAAAAACCCAATGAATTTTGGTTTATTTCGTAAATTTATGATATCATTTTTATTTGGTTATATATATATATATATATATATATATATATATATATATATATATTATTATGAATTTGTATAAGGTAACTTGATGTTTATTATGTCAATCTGAGTGTGATATCATTTACCTTAACATGTTACATTTATTTTTATTAAAAATAAAATATATAAAAAATAAACAAAAATTAAGTATATTAAAATTATTACTATAAGTTATAATATTAAATTATATTTTTTATAATAAATTATAATAATTATATTAGTGTAATTTTTATTATTTTATTATTAAATAATAATAACAATTTTTTATCATATAATTTTTTTACTATTATAATTAATGATAAAATGAATAATAATAAGAATATTTTTATTATCAATATAATCAATAATATGATAATAATATTAATAATTTTAATTACATTATTTTATTATTATTATTAAAGTAATATAATAATTATTAATTTTAATAATAATATAGAAATACTATTATTAATTATAATAATATATTAATCATTATTATAATATAATAAATACAAATATTACAATTTCTCTCTCTCTCCATATATATATATATATATATATATATAAAAGTTGAATTACTATTACAATTTCTTCTTAAATTTAAAAAAATAAAATCATGAAGTATGACTTTTGAAGTCCAATTTTATAACATAACTTATTTATTTATTTTTTAAATTTTAGCTATATCAATAAATTTAAAAAGAAATTTACACCATTTTAATAAAAACCATAAAAATACGTAAGTTTGGAAAAGAAAACCGAGAATGGAAGAAATAAATATATCTATTCTTAATTTTCTTAACTGAACATTAGTTACAAATGTTATAAATTCTTTATAACTTGAATGATAGATGATATGAAAAACTCAAATTTGTAGCTTGTAGTTTGTTTTCTGCTTCGAAATTATCTCAATAATTTTTTTTCTAAATCCAAACATTTTTATTATTCAAACGTAAATGTCAAGAAAATTATAACATTATTATACGCATTGAAAATTCACCACAAAATAAGTAAACAACTTTTATGTTTGATCAAATATTTTTGCCACACAAAAAGTAAGCAGTGAGGTGACATTAGATTTTTGTGTACGGAAATACTCAACAAAGTTTTTTTGTCGGATTTAGTGGCAGAGTTAAGCTTACCTCCATCCACCAATGATATATATAAAAAAAAGCATAAAATTTTTGAACACTAAAATTTAGTTCTGACAACAAACAAATCGGTTGTTTCTTCATCCATCTACTTTTGAAAATCCTTTCCATAAATTGTTTGTGTTTTGAATCTTATAGTTTTAATGAACCAACCAAGTGGCCTCTCACATCTGTTACAATGGAATTGACGGAACTTGCCACCATTTGGGATCATATATTATAAAAATATCAATATTCCAATCAAAACCACTCTTCCAATTCCAACATGTGAATCCCACAGCATTAAAAAACCAGACATCCCCACCACCGCACCCTCCTGCTTTCCTCTGTAACTTCCAGAACTTTCCAACCCACTCTCTCTCTCTCATCCACTTGCTATTTGAGGAAAATGGTTAAATAAAACAAACATATTGCTTCCAACAAGTCTAGAATCTTCTAATTAACTCTCCCTTTATTTTATTATACACATAATATATTTTATTTTTTCTATCACACTCCACTGTTAATCTCTCTCCCTACATAAACCTTCAAAACACTTCATTACCTTTCTTCTTAGATAGGTATCTGTGCGTTACTATAAACAAACACTTCATCCTGTTTTTTAACTGCTCAAACGACTTTCCCAACAAGGAAACAGAGTCCTCTGCCTTATTGTTTGAAAAACCAAACTCCAAACCTTCACTTTTTCTCCACTTTTCGCTCATTTCTAACTCTAAACTTTCGATGAATTTTAATTCCGTTGGGATTACGCCGCATTCTATCCCCTTTACCTCTTCTTCCTCTTCCCTTCCTCTTCTTTCTTCTTCCTCTGTTTCCATGTATTTTTCAATTCTATTTTTCTTATCTGCTTTGTCTCAAATTACTTTCTATAGTTTCTGCACATGAACAAACCTCACACACTAACCTGAAGCAACTTGATCGCGAATTGAATTAACATATTGGAACCATAAGATATCGAATTTTTTTATCTTCTAAAATGAACTATTTGTACCCTGTGAAAGAAGAGTACTTGGAATCGTCACCACCATCGTCCTCATCATCGCCAACGTCTCAAACAGGTGGTGATGAGTCAGCAATGGTTCCTCCTCCGAGGCCAATGGAGGGGCTTCACGAAATGGGGCCGCCCCCATTTTTGACCAAGACGTATGATGCAGTGGAGGACCCCACAACGTTCCACATAGTTTCATGGAGTAGAGGCGGTTCCAGCTTTGTGGTTTGGGATCCTCACGCTTTCTCCAGAGACCTTCTCCCTCGATACTTCAAGCACAACAATTTCTCAAGTTTTGTACGGCAACTAAACACTTACGTAAGTGTTCTGTTCACCATGCTTTGTTTTTTATCTTCTTGACTCGTTTCCTTCCAGTTTTATGGGATGGACTTCCACAAAACTTAAAGTTTCACAAGTATTTTCATATTGTTCTCTTATTAGAATTGCATTTCTGTATTCAATGAAAACTTTTTTTACGCGAATCAATTGAATAAAATTTCAATTCTCTTTGGAAAACTGTATTAGAAATATCTATGAAACTGTATCTTGAAAAGAGAAGTAATAATCCAATTAAGAAACAATCTTTTTCTTTGAGTTGAGATAAATCTCTATTTTTTTCTGCTAACTTGGTCGTGGAATATAACTTCACTGTTCTATCATTTTAAGTTTTGTTTCCTCCTATTCACAGTGGTAAGTTTTCATATTTTGTGGTTAAAACTGATTAAAATTTTTATTATATGATATCGTACTATTTAAATATTTAAATTCACATCTTGTCTCGTGGGTTTCTTCTAGACTTCTAGATCTCTCTATTCTCCTATCTTATTCATTCCAGCTGTGGCCTGCGATAGTGGTACAGTTTGGCAGCAAGCTCTATCAATTTGTCCATTTCTTATCATAATAATTGTAGCAGTTATGGTGTCAATTTATTCAGCATGTGTTGAGTTTTTGGATTTTCGGTACTAAATATGGGGTTAAATTTCATAGGGTTTTAGAAAAATTGATCCCGATAGGTGGGAGTTTGCAAACGAAGGATTCCTGAGAGGGCATAGGCACCTTTTGGCAAACATAAGGAGAAGAAAGCAACCTTCTCAGCCTTCTACTTCTCAACAAGGACAAGGTCACTGTGTTGAAGTTGGTCGTTTTGGACTTGATGAAGAGGTTGATCGTTTGAAGCGTGACAAGCACGTGTTGATGATGGAGCTTGTAAAGCTGAGACAGCAGCAGCAGAATACCAGGTCATACCTTGAGGAAATGGAGGAGAGGCTACGAGGGACAGAAATTAAGCAGCAACAGATGATGGCTTTCTTGGCTAAAGCTATGAAGAACCCCACCTTCATCCAGCAGCTACTCCAGCAGAAAGAGAAGAGGAAGGAGCTTGAAGAGGCCATGTCCAAGAAAAGGAGAAGGCCAATCGAGCAAGGACCAAGCGGGGTTGGAGAATCAAGCATTAGAGGGGAAGGCAGAAGCAGTGTTAAAGTGGAGCCCCTAGTGTTTGGTGAATATGGATTTGGAGTCTCAGAGTTGGAAGTGCTAGCTTTGGAGATGCAAGGTTATAGTAGGGGAAGGAGGGAACAAGAGGAAGAACCTGAGGCACTAGAATCACAAGAGAGGCTGGAGAAAGAGCTTGATGAAGGGTTCTGGGAAGAACTGTTCAGCGAGGGTTTTGAGGGTGAATTAGATATTCCAACTTCGCAAGACCAAGATGACGAAGAAGATGTCAACGTGTTAGCCAATCGCTTTGGTTACTTGGGATCAAGTCCTAAATGAATCTCAGAGATTCAAGATTAGTAAACCTTCTTGAATTGGTTCACTAGGTTCAAGTAGTATATGGTGGAGGCATTCCATTTGGCTGGATATATGTGAAAATAATTTACTTTTTGGTGTTTCTAACCCCCATTATATGATGATGTCCTTTTGTAGCACTTGGTAGAACCTCAAATTTTCTCACTTTTCGATCTCTATGTTTGATTAGGTAGGTTGCAGCTGTTGCTTGGACAAGAATCTGTGGTAGTGATAGCGAACGTTATTTACTCAAGGTTCAGTTTTTTTTTTTTCTTTTTAACCACTGAACCCCGCTTTGTACTGCATTATATATATATATATATATATATATATATATATATATATATATATGTAGCAACCCAGTGCCTCTTCGTTGTTTTGATTATATTACCTTAACGAATGTAGATTATTCAGAAGCTGTAGAATGGATACAAAGTAGCTGAACTCCAAGAATCATAACTGATTGTTGCTTTTGAACCAAGATCCAGTTGGTGGTTAACCTTGTCGGTTTGATTTTTCCCCTTCCTATACTATTTCATTGCGTGGACTTCGTCATGTGGCTAGAAATAAAACGAGGCCACACGACGAATTACACGATGTTACATATGGACAATTTTGGTAGGTATCTTCATGCTTTCAAGATTCCGTTCACGATTAAACCTTAAAAACGATGAAACAAAAATCATATGTGGGGTTCACTCTGATGCCTCAAGGCGAAACGTGTCAAGAGTCTAGGGCATAATCAAATAATGAAAGTGATCATGTTTAGCTCTAGTTGGTGTGTTGGCAAACCTTCGGATTCCTGTCCCAGTCCCCTCTATACCAGTGCCATTCAATCACTGGGTTCCAAATGTCAATTAGTTAACCTTCCGATCTAACTTCTTTTTCCTCTTTCTGTTTCAGTAGGTTATGACAAATGCTAACATTATTACCCTTTTCACTATTTGTTGACTCATATTTCATATCAACAACTTTAGTAGTAAACTGTCTCAAAGTTAGAATAGAACCTGAATTGCGATCATCGCTGACAAAATTAATATATGCATGTATGCATATGAGGATGAAATTTACCCAGTTTACTAGCTAAAGTGGGTTGTTTACCTAAAAAATAAGTTGCATCCTTAAAATAAACATAAGATTGTAGTTAACAAAATGTTATGTATTGGTCTAGAATGCATGACTAACGAGTACGAAATTAACATATAAACTTGAAATGGGAATTGGAGGTTGGCTTGTTAACATGCATATTTGACCTTTTGATAATTTTTAATGGTTCTAATTAAGCCACTAAACTCATTCATGAATGTTGATGGTTAAACATTAATTCCTAGAACATAACATGGGGTTATCTTCTATTAACATAGGCAACAAATCTTGAAGATGATGGTCATATTTGGTGAGAATATATGGAAATGAAATGATGTACAATGTTAAGTAGGTCAAGCAGCATTTATACAGAGACATATATTTTTGACATTCGTTATTTTCCCCATTGGTCCTGGCAAAAAATTATCTCATGCAGAGGATCATTAAGAATTAAAATATCCCATCTCAAACAGCCTTATATATAATCTTGCTTGAACTCTCATTGTAAGGCATATCAATAGCGAGTACAGTTTTCATTCCTTAAAAAAATTCATTTCATGAAACAAAAAAAATGAAGTTATTGCATGTTCATGTTAGTAGCTTCATAAGAGTTTGATGTATTTATGAAAGTTGTGAAAAGTTAATTACATGTAACATTTATAATTGATTCCAAGATTTTATATTCTTGTACACTATAGTGTCCTTTTCAAAGTTTAAATTTCTGCGTGTATAGTATAGAAATATACTTTGATAGTAATTACTCAGAAAATTGAAGAAACATTTGAATGAAATTAGTTTCTCAAAAGTTTTAGTTTATTCACAGTGAAACTCGTTTCTTTTTTTTTGTAAAATTGCAACATTTTATTTTTTCAAAAAATGTATCTATATTTACAATTACTTTTAAAAGTTTGAGACGCTTTTGTAATGCTTGGCTCTGATTAATTAACAATTATGTTGGTAGAGACATTGACAAGCATTTGGATGGTTACAATTGTGACATTTGCAGAGGATCGAATATGCTGCTCCCAACATGTCTTCAATTTTTTATGAAGGAGATTAGTGATTTTGTTAAAAGGTTTTGTTTCTTTGAAGTAAAGTAAATTTTAACAGATAAAAATGCAAAATTTAAATCATTGATTAAAAAAAGTAATCGCTGAAACTGTTATATATATATATATATATATATATATATTATCAAAATCATTTTATTTAGAGAACTCCAAGGTCAAAATTAAAAAGAAAAAGACTATGTTTATCTATAGTTTCTATGGCCACCTAGTTTGCATAACTTGTTAGTGATATATTTTTACCTGCATTGCTTTGGTTAATCAAAATTATTACATGACATAACATATATCCCTTCACATATGGTAGTTTCTCCTATTAATAATTTCTTGAAATTTAAAGAGTTGTCTCATTTTATTTTATGCTAGCTCTCGTATTCCTCATATTTCAATTTATGCATACATTAATTTTAATTTATATAAAAGTAAACCCTAATTACATACCTTCTCATTTCTCTTATAAGGTGTCCAACACACATAATATATATATGAAAGAACTTCCCATGCACTGATAATATTAAAAAATTTGCATTATTAATCAATAAAAACTGATGACAGATATAAAATGTTTAAAGTAATTATTAACCAAACCAAGAAATTTACAGTATATTAAGGTTAATGATTGTGATTAGATGACAATGTAAAAAACGTCACTGCCATTCCCTCTTTGATTCTGTATGTTATGAACCTCTTTCCTTTTTAATCAGCATTCTTATTTGTTTTCTTTGGTGGAAATTTGATGACTAGATGTTGATATAATCCTCACTCCATCTAAATGTTGCGTATTATCATTGGATCCCGTTTGGGAGAATAAAACTAAAAATCAAGTATTGATGATGTTCTCCATTTGTGGAGAAAATAATGGAGAACATTTAATATGCAGAGTGAACAACACTAGATCAGCTAAGCAGTGATATGTGGCAGAATAACTAAATAATTTGAGAACAAAAAATCTGGACATGTCCTATAATGAATACCACACGATTTTATGTAAGTACGTAGGAATGATATTACTGAATGGACTGGTTCACACATTTGGATGTCACAAAATTCTTACTACTTTTAACATGGAGATGCAAACTTCATTTACCTACACTAGGTGGTATTTTACATATTCATTCTTATAAGAATCCATGCACGTCACTTTTCTTTTCTGATGCTGTATGTATGTGTTGACCAGTGCTTTTCTTGTCGTTTTCGTTCTGCATTTGGGTCGAGCAAAGTACATGCATGGCAGAGACAAAGAAAAAAATATTTAGCTGATACATTTTCTTTCTACTGTTAGGTCATCATAAAAAAAACCTAGAGACACTACTACAGATTGATCATTCAACGTCGGGTGTAGAAGGCTTTCAACGTTGTTTCTAATGGCGTCGTTGAATTAGGCGTCGTTGAATGTCAAAGGATTCTACGTCGGTTCAGAAAACCTGACGTAGAATCGTGTAAATATCTACGTCGGTTAAACCAATGTCCGTCGTAGAAATGTGTAATTTCTACGTCGGTTATTTATCTAACCGACGTTGAATGTTATATACACAACGTCGGTTAATGATATGACCGACGTTGAGAGTTAAATACTACGTCGGTTGATGCAATAATCGACATTGTATATTCGTTACAACGTCGGTTATTGCATTAACTGACGTAGAAGATGCCCTTTTTTTTTTAATAATTGCTCTATTTTTAGTGCTACCAACAGTATACGACCTGCTATAATCTCAGTCATTGACAGTATATATATTTCAGCTAATCACTATATATTACTATATATAAAATGATAGATATATATGTCAAAATCAGCCAAATTATGTACAAAATACACAAAAAATTGTCAATCAATCCTATTCCTAACTACTTGGACAAACTTTTCTGCCCATTTGTTTCTAACCATGTCTATAGTTTTCATAGACAAAGGTTCTATATCTTTAAATGCCTGTAAGAAGTTCACAAATAGAATGATAAACCCTAAGCAATAAAAATAAAGGAATTGAATATAATAGCAAATGTCAACTTACCTCATTCCAACTATCCTGTATGCTACCAAAAATGATGAGCCACATCCAATACATTACATAATAGCCGCACTCGTATCCTCCATTTTGTTTGTTACACTAAAAATGACTAAATATGTTAAAAATAATTATTAAATTTGAATATAAAATAGATAGTATAATATATATAAATGTTACTTACTTTGATAAAATTCCAATTTGGAGCTGTGCTTTTACTTGTGTGTTTTTCACCTAATGTACTACAAACCTTTAGAGCACTATATATTGAAAAGAAGGGGGTTAGAAATAGAATAATCTAGATGTTTAGACATAATATAAGAAATACTTACTCGTTTACAATATTTTTTAGCTCCATGTCAGGTTTCCTTCCCAATGAGCAGAACCAACACACAAGATTCTGCTTTGGACAAATAACTAATAGCTGTCAGTGGTTTTTGTATATACACATGATTAGAATCTATTAAAAAAATTTGTGTAAAACCAGAAGAGGTTGAGATAACTTACGAATGATGGTATGCTCCAAGGTAAATATGTCTCTTAGAATCAGTCATCCAATTCTACATGTAACTGAGAATTTGATCACGCTTATTCCCAGACTTTTGTATGGATTGAGGTTCGAAGAATTCATACACATGACCAATGCCCTGCTCCACTATGATTTCATGCATCATCCTAAAATATGCCAATTTAAGTGAACTTATACCTTATATATTTACTAAAATGAAAAGAGTCATGAAATATATGAACTTACAATGTCCAAAATTGTAAAACAACTATATTTAGACATTGATTGCCCATCCCAATCTCCAGGGCATCAGTGTGG